TCATTAACCTCATGCATGTACTGAATTACCTGAAAGAAAATGTGAAAATAACAAATGCTAGAGGCAGGGATCGAACCCCTGACCTCCAGCCTTCCAATGCCTTAAGCGCTTCCTGGCTACCACTGGGCCACTTTGCTTTTGTTATACAATAATGAAGCAATAATAATAATATGTAAAACAAAGAAATATTGGAAAATTAAAATAAAAAACACGCGCTGAACGTTTGAACGGACCAGTAGGGGAGTGACAACTCATCGTCTCATTCCTCTCTCTGTGGGTAAAAGTCTCATACTTTTACCTACGGACATTTGTCAGTAGCTATAAGCCTGGTTCATTCAAAAATCCTCCATGGGTCATGTAAATGGAAACTAGCGCCATGGTTGAGTTCGTCTCATCCTCCTGAACAAGATGGTACCACTTACGAAGGCTAATTTTCCCTGTAATCAAAAAACCTAAAACAAACTCCAAAAACCTAACAATTGTGAATTTTGCTACAGGCCATATAAATAAAGTTAAATGATGAAGAAAGCTTGCATATGTCTCATAGATCAAGAATATGTGATTAATTCCATCTAACAATGCCTATATCATGAGATACGACTTCAAGAACAGGGCTATGTCGTGATGGACTTACAGTGCATTTTGGGACTTGAAAAGCTTGATTCTTGATCGCTTTAGCTTGCTGAGAGTCCCAGGAGTCGATTGAGATAGGCAAAGGGTCTTGAAGATGCCTCTAAGTGCAAATTCAATCTCACACTTTTCTTGCTTTTTTTTTAATTCTGGTTCTGCCTCTTGCGCCTGTTTCCAACTTTGTTTTTTGAGTCTGCACACACTCTATATATACCAAGCAATGTATTAGGGTTGATAAGCTGTATTCAATCTTCCTCCTTCAATGATTTGGATTGTGATTTGATACACTTTGAAAACTTTCCAAAATTGGTCCAAATCCAATCTTTTTGTGCACACATTCCTTGATACGAGTTTGAATGACTTGCTAGCTGTAATTGGAACCTGAAACAAGCACAAAATCTCTTACTTTCAATATTTTGGATTTTATTTGATTTGTTTTGATTTAAATTGATTTAATTCAAATAAAAATCAAAATAAATAATAAAAATAAGATATGGACAAGTGGCAAAGGCTAGATCTCGTGGACCATGTTGCCAACTCAAAACAAGTGAGAAAGATTGGGCCCGTTTGGTAAAATTTGAAGTTTTAGAGATAGTTGACTTTTGGCAATTTTGCAAAAAGGTCAACTTCACCAATGTATAACTTCCTCAATTTTGACTCTTTGGAGATTTTCTTGGACTTTTTAGAAAGCTTGAGATATCCTCTAAGCAACCCTTTTGGTCTCATATCAATTTTATATTCCATTCGCATTTATGAAGCTTTGACAAAAAATGTGTTTTTGTTGACTTTTCAAAATGACCTATAATGTCCAAATTCATAACTTATTGTGAGTGCATATTTTGAACTTGGAAGCTGAAGATGGATTGTAGAGAATTGCATCCTATTCAAAATGAGCTTTGGATGGGTCATTTATCATAAAGTATGAGAAAGTTATGCTTGGTCAAAGTTGAGTTTACTTTTCCTACAAAACCCTAATTTAGCAACTTTTGAGTCTTGATGAATTATGAGCAATCCTTGATGAATCATGATCAACCCTTGACCAAATGATGAAATATCCTTCAAAATGAGGATGTTGACCAAAAATCTTGAAGTTTGACTGTATGTGGGCCACAATTGACTTTTGCCCTAGCACAGTCGATTTTTAGGCTTTTGAGCAATTGACCGAGCAAACTTGAAACTTGACATGAATGCTCTTGATAACATATTAGGACAATGTTGAGCATTTGGGATCACTTGGACTCAGTTATCTTGATGCAATATGAAACCCTAATTTGGGGTAGACTGCCTTAGGAGAGAGCTTGTCTGGCCAACCCTTGGACTACCTTGAGGATCTTCCTTGAAATGTTTTGAGAAATATGGGAGGGCAAATTTTGGGGTACAACACTAGGCATCTAGGAACTGAAGTCTCTAAGTTTCATTACACAAATATCCATTGAGCCTTTCATACACCCTAGTTCCCTCATGAAAGATTAGACCTATCCACGTATATTTGTGGCCTATTAAACCAATATCCATAAGGTTGCAAGAGTTAACCCTGTCTTTGAACAAATTTCAATTTTTATTCGATGTTGGAACTCCTCCCTTTTTTCTTCTACTACCACGATATCATTGGAATTACCTCCAAGCAACCACCCACAATTCACCTTTAAAGTTATTTTTTAAAATCATCTCATAACTCATTCCTTCCTTTTTCTCTAGGACTAATTTGAACAGAGGTGAAAAGCCTTTCCTCATCATCCATGTGCTTGATTTTGTATGAATAAATTGAAAATGCTTCTCTAGAATTGTAATAATCACCTTCTCTGCTTTCCACACGATGGTTATTCCTCCAAAAAAAAACGTTAACTTTTTTGAACTCATAACCATCAAACCCTAGTTTCTTGAAAGTCTTGCATAGCTACCCATGCTCAATTATTGTTTCCATAATTATGAACGTATCTGGATGAAAATTTTGAATATAATTGTTGCAAACTCAAAGAAAATATTTACTAGGAACTCCTCTATAATTACAAATAAATAATTTGAGTTGGTCAGATACCATAAGATATTATTGAAAGATTGATTCAATCCATTGCCATTAGCTTGGGGTCTCTTCGACCACATCCATATCTGAGTATTCTCCTTATTCGACATTATTATCAGCTGCTTCAGGAGTGCCTTCTTCCTCACCCTCATTCCTCTCTTCGAAGCTCTTTGTTATTTCTGAAACATGATTCATCTCCTCAATACCCCTTATTCCTTACTCAAAGATCCTTGGGCCCTAAATTCTTTTGGGCCCAGTTGGTCCAAATTGTTAGCTTTAGTCATATGTGGCTTGACGATTATATTTCCTTTATCGGGGCTATCAAATTGCATCCCTTTATCTAGTTTTAAGCCCTTGATGAGTTCACCTACCCCCTTTCCACGTGCCCCCATGCTTTTCTCTTTTATTATGTCACGTGAAGCAATAACCAAACTTGCATTGTTAATTTTTTTTAACTTTTTAATAGAATCAGTCTTCTCCACCACATGTTGCACTTCTATTGGTTTATTTAATTTTTAGATACCCCCCATCAATAATATCTTTTCATGCATTTTGGTGTACGTTATTTTCTTCATTGATAGGATTAATAGGAAATTCATAGATTTTGACTCATACTGCATGTTGTTCGATAACATTAGTGATCATATATTAGCAAAGGGTTTTCCATTAAGACTAAATATTGACCAATTCACTAGTGAAAATGGTTAGATAATATTCTTTCCCTATATCTACTATATTTAGGACTTCTCTCCTTGCCCATATCTTCTAGAGTCTATTCTCAAGTGCCTTGTACCCTATCCTTCTCCATATCATCTTGAATATCACCCCTCGTTTTCATGGCTTTGAAATCCTTCTTTCTTCCATCTCTGAGAGAATAAATTATGGACATTCATACTCCCTAAATTTCTTCTCTTCAATCTTCGAACCTCTAATTATTCTGTTTACATAGTTCGATCTTGTACTTTTATGCGTACATTTCATTATTTCTATTATTTCCTTCATGTTATCTACGATCACCATATTCATATACGGAATAATCCATTTACTTCTATAATCATTGACATGCTCAAGCTTTAATTCTTCATATATTCACTAGTATGTTTGGCATAAAAGATAAGATCATCTTTCTCCTTTGACTCTTTTAGTGCTTTGTTCTTCGAAGTCATCTTCTTTTGATTGGTTCTTGTGGTTTGCATTCGCAAACCCCGGTGGAGCAAGACTTGTGACTAATCACTTTTTAGAACTCTCAATAATGCTTTTAACAAATGGAATAGATGAAATGAGAGAAAAGGAGATCGTAGCTGCATAATTTCTAGTTAGTGGGTTTCGTCCCCCCGAAAAGTGACCCTATATTTCTAAAAAATAGGATGAGAAAGAGAGATGAGTGGACATAAAGTTGTTTTGCATTACTCATGACAGACCTTGAAGCAAATCGAGACAAAATTCCTTCAAATCATCTGCATATTCCAATTTTGGAATAAAATTCTTGTGTCGATTATCATAAGACTTCCATTTTGAAAAATGTCTTAGGTTGGTATCTTTCATTTTGGGAGTTCGTTGGTGCTGAGTTACATGATTTATGGGTTTGGGAAAATTTATAGGTTTGAGGAAGAAGATGAAGAACGACAATCAAAACCCTAAAATAATTTTTGGTGACAAATATTTTCTGTTGTTAAATTAATCACAAAATTTGTTATTTTTTTGTTTTTGCACTCTGTTTTTCAGGGAAAAGGAACTCTAATAATCCAGAGTTCGTGCTATGGAGGCACGTGCACCGGTCAAGCGTTGTTTCTGTTAAAAATCGAATTTGATATTCTCCGATTATTGTCCTTTACAGAGACTCGTTTGTCACTCGAATTCAAACCCTTGATTATAAAAATTGGTTTAAGTTGCATAACATACCTCACTACCAAAATAAACATAAAAGACTAACATGATTGAGTTTATACACTTGAGAAAGTTTAATGATCATTTTAAATTAAATGACTAAACTGAAAAGTAAAGATACAAAAGAGAAAAGAAAATTAAGTCTATATTTATTTATACTTAAAAGTTCAGCTCCAACTCCTCATAAAGGAACAATCTAGATCATATGACCTTATGAAAATAAACTGTCAGATGAAATTAGTGAAAGTGAAAATACTGTCAATTTCAATAATTAACTTAAAAAAAATTAAAATAAAACTTCTAATAAAAAATTGAAAAATAGAAAGTGTTTGATATATTAAAAAAACATGGGTATAAAATAAAGAAATTGGAAATAGCACATATAAATAGTAGTAGTATACTAGTACTAGTATAGTATAATAATAACAAAACGAGTTCCCACATAACAGAAAAAACAAGAATGGTGAAGAAAGAGGAGGAATCCGGTAGCGGAACCAGAGAGAAGAACGGTGCCGCTTCTTCTGGTGGCGGCGGTGGTCGTTACGTCGACACTTCGAAGGCGCTCAACCCTATATGGTTGATGAAATGTCCGCCGGTTGTCGCTCAATCCTTGCGTGCCCTACCGTCCTCCTCCGATCCCTCTCTTCCCGGTGCTAAAGTCATCGTCTCTGTCGATCCTCTCAAACCCGAAGATCATCCATCCGAGGTAGTATAATTGCTAATAATTCTCATCATCATCAGCATTTTCAATCTCCATGCATGCGCGTTTATTCTCTTCTCTTCTTAGGGTTAAATGTGTTTCTATATTCTCATTAGTCACTATCAAAATTTTGAGTTCAATTTTTACATAAATTTCTTTACTGTGTGGCTAAATCATAATTTATGATTCACTCACAGATACACTGATATGTCATACACATTTAATAATAAATAAATGAATTGAACGTATCCATAAGGGTGGTGCCATGTCAGTTGTCGATGCTAACAATATTTTTTTTAGAGGTATCGGTGATACAGAAATCACTCATACACGGTGTCATGTTAGTTGTCGATGCTAACAACATTTTTTTTAGAGGTATCGGTGATACAGAAATCACTCATACACTCGTACGCAAACAACATTAGACACGATAGAAACACTACATTTTGATACTTTGATGCTGGAAATAATTTTAAAAAAGAATAAATTAAAAGTAATCAGTTCTGATAATATTTTAAAAAATAAATGAATTAAACTTAATAACATGTGTTCGTGTCTACCTAGGTACCGGTGCTATATAGAAATAGTAATATTTTTTCTTATTAAGTAGATTAAATGAATAAATATTTTGTAGAGACTAAATTGAATCTATATTTAATTCTATTTTTATTAATGATGACACTTTTCTTTGTATTTTTCTGCTTGCTACTTTAAAATTGAATGATTGTTTAGTGAAATCATAAAATGATCAGTTTACAATGGAGTTGGGTGGAGGTGAAGGTAATGCATCAAGATGTTTTGCTATGGACATGTCTAAAGACTTCATGCCTATGTCTGTCTTTTCTGACTCAACACAAGGTACCTTTTCAATCATCACATGCATTGGATTTTGTTTCTTTTATATGATATCATAATGTTAGACTTCAACAATCTAAACAAATGAGAGATTCTTAATTGAAAGTTTAAGAGGAATAGAATCCCAATTACAAAGGTAATACATTTGTGTGCAGCTTCAACAGTTTGTATGTACTAAGATAATCTAACCATCTTGTTATTTACCCTAACCTTCTGATTCACAGACGAAGAGGGTCCTGGTAATTCGGAGTTCGACTGAGAAGTAAGTAAAGTCTAACCATGGATTGAACTCAGATACTCCCAATTGATTCAATCTTAACTAAAGCATATTAACACATAACCTAACCCTCTAACTAGCACTACGAAATAAGTTTCCTATGAGAAGCCTGGTGATGTAAAGCTCTTTTCATTGCAGAGTGGAATCCTTTAGGGGTCTATTATAGATAGGCTTGCGTTTGATCTATTTATTTTTTTGGTTTCTTTGATGTTTTATTGTTTATTTAATGATATTTGATCTTTTATTTTATTTTTAAAGTAAATCAGATTAAGGATGTAACTAGATAGGAAGTCTCTGATTCAGCAAAATGTAATTCAAGCAGTTGATACTTTTGGCATATTGTAGGAAAAGTATCAGTGGAGGGGAAAATAGTGAGCAAGATTGACATGAGGTCGGATAATCAAAATCTTGATGTCTACGGGAAAATCTGCCGTGAAAGGACACAGAAATATACGGTCAAAAATAGACAGATACAGGTTTTCTTATGGCTTTTATTCTCATAATAACATATGATCCAATGATTTTGACAGACATATCTTATTTACCTTTGATTTTGCCTGAACTCTATTTTCAGATCATTGACAATGATAATGGAGCTCACATGAGGCCAATGCCAGGGATGATCAGTTTTTCAGTTGCTGGACCCGTTGCTGTAAATAAATGCCTTTTTCATCGTGTTACCAATTTGTGTTCTCAATGATTACGTTTGCATGTGAAATGAAACTTCCCTTCTTTTAATATCATGTGCATAGCACTTTTGTGACTTCCCATCGAACCATTTTTTTGGCTCAATAATGAGCATGGTTCTTAGTCGTGGTAGCAGTCACAGTTATGGTTCCGATGTGAATTTTGATATTGTGACAAAGCCCAAACAAATGTGGCCGTATTTGCAGTTGAAATATCTTTGTGGAGATCTCTAAAACCTTTATAATACGGTTGTAGTTGCATTGCAGCTGCATACAACAATTTAGAACTATGATAATGAGATTAAAACATCGGCAAATAGTTTAATCTAGTGTTATGTAGTTGAGTTTGAGTTTGTACTTTTTATTGTTTGATGTTTGAGATGTAAAAGAAGGTGATTTATTACATTAGGAAAAGAAGAAAGCACCAGCACGAGGAACAGAGACGAAGAGAACTAGAAGAGACCGTGGAGAAATGGAAGAGATTATATTTAAGCTATTTGAAAGGCAGCCGAATTGGAGTTTAAGAAACCTCATACAAGAAACCGACCAACCTGAAGTATGTTGCTACTGCTGCTTTGAATATTTGTTCTAAATTGGACATTTGTTTCTTCCAAGCACACACCATTTGGTTATTGAACATTTGTTTGTATATGTTTATTAGTGCCTGTGTTTGACTAATACTGTGTTGCATCTAATGATACATTTTAATGCAGCAATTTTTGAAAGATATACTGAAAGATCTTTGTGTCTACAACAACAAAGGAACTAATCAAGGCACCTATGAACTGAAGCCTGAATACAGAAAATCTGGTGATTAGCTTCAAATGCTAATGCTCTTCATCCTCACCTAGTATAGTATAATTCAAATCATTCATTTTTTCATATTTTTCCGACCGGGCTGTGAAATGGGGCAGCATGCATTTTGTTAGTCTATGATTTTGTTATTTTACTATCTTTTGTTTTCGGATGACTATGTATCATCATAAGGTTTGAATGAATTATTACATCTGCATTCTCTTGGTTTTGCTGATTTTGATACATAACTTTATTCTTTCTATTCTATCTTAGAACATGTTTGGAAAATGAGAAAACACAGTCATCTTATAAGTGAGGTGTATCTTAGGATTAGATCAATGTGTTTTCAATTGTATTGCTTTGTATGCTTTAATTTTGTGGGCTTGCATCAGAGTTTTATAGATCCTAATCCGGATCTGGGGAATACCCTTTAGATAAGTAGCAATAAACTGTGAGGGACCTGTCCGGCGTAGACCGACACGGGTGAAGCAGTAGCTACGTTGGTGTGTCACCTTGGTCTGTACCGATATCCCTTGTGTTGGAACGAGGAGAATATGGGTCTTCTGAGGAGTCATTAAGCACCAACTGACCTTAGAACCTTAAATTGACCAACTTGACCATAGAACAGTAGCAGTATGCTACGCTTATTGAGGCTAAACTCTCGCGATGGTTCCGGCCGTAAGAAAAGGTTGCCAAACTGGAATTATGACCGATTGAGGGTAGTCAGTGATATTGAGATCCTCTAGAACCCGATTACTATTTTTAGGACAGGTCTTAACCAACTGAAACTGAAAGAGGGTAGTACCTAAACTTCATACCAGCCTGAAATCTAAGGGCTCTTTTGTGTGACTTGTGTGCCTTTGCCATGTTTGCCTTTTGTGAATACTTGTGGTGTGCCTTTATCATAACATTGCATACATCCTGCATAAGGACTAACCCATTTCAAGGATCTCAAGGGTTTGTGATGCAGGTCATGATGAACCAAATGTCTAGCAAGGGGCAAAGGGGATTTATTTTCCTCTAGCCAAGGTTGTTTGGAGATCAAAACACGATAACTTGAGTCAGGGGCTATGACCCACGCGATATGGTGAGCTTGACTCTTAAAGAAGGACTCTCAGCAACATGAAGTTTCTTCAATCACAGCTGCAAAATTCAAATTCTAACAAGTTTCTTTGTTTACCCCGCGAGATCCTTGAAAACATTGCATACATAAATCATACGCATTTCATTTCATCATATGCATAACAAGTACCTTTTTTACAGGTCACTTATCTTCTTCGTTGTTTATTTCAGCAATCATCATGTCTACTGAACCTTCCACTGAACAAGCTATCAAGGCCCTCCAGGCCCAGAATGCCCAGTTCCAAGAGTTGGTTATGAGCCTAGCCCAGGGTCAACAGTATTTGAAGACTCTGATTCTGAAAGAGAGGAAGAAGAAGAAGAAGAGGACCGTCCTGTTCAACACTGGACGCAGATTTGGGAATGGACTGCAGAATGAGGTTGAGCTGACTACCTCATCTGTAGGGAAAGACAGTCCACAAGAGAGAAGGGTTCCTAGTCCCGTGGTCTCTGACAACGAGACGGATTATGATGAGGAACAGTATTCTCCTGCTGAGGATAGGTACAAACAGCTGGAGGACCGCTTAAGTGCTATGGAGATACAGAATGTGCCCGGGCTGGACTTTGGAGATATAGGCTTATCCTCTGGGGTGGTGATTCCCCATAAATTCAAGGCACCCGCCTTTGCCAAATACGACGGAAATTCCTGCCCAAAGCTGCACCTCCGGTCTTATGTAAGGAAAATCCAACCTTATATCGCTGACAAGAATTTGTGGATCCATTTCTTCCAGGATAGTCTTTCAGGGACTCAACTCGAGTGGTTCTATCAGCTGGATGGAGCCAGTATCCGTAACTGGGAGGACTTGGCTACTGCGTTCTATAAGCAGTATCAATATAATTCCGACCTCGCTCCTACGCGCACCCAACTCCAGGGTATGTCACTAGGGACGGGTGAAGGATTTAAAGAGTACGCCCAAAAATGGAGAGACCTTGCCGGAAGGGTGCAGCCACCTTTGACTGATCGTGAGCTGGTTGATATGTTTTTGGGGACCCTGTCTGGTCCATTCTTCAACCATTTGATTGGAAACTCCTCAGCCGGGTTTACAAACCTTATCTTGACTGGTGAGAGGATTGAAGCTGGTATCAAGGCTGGGAAGATACAGAAAGGTGCCTTCTCGAGCACTGAAAAGAAGTCGTTCAAGAAAGAATACAGTGTTGTCTATGGTTCAAGGAGACCAAATAGATCGGAACACCGCCAAGCTGTCAACACGGTGGTTATTTCAAAACCTGCTGGTGCTCTTCAGTATCACAAGCAACAAAGGGGTGAGAGACTTAGAAGGCAATTCACTCGACTCAGCATGACCTTGTCCCAGATATTGCCACAGTTATTGACAACCAATTTGGTGACTCTAAGGGAAGCTCCTAAGAATCCCAACACTACATCCCCAAAGTACAATCCTAACGCCCGTTGCGCTTATCACTCTGACAGCCCGGGACATAGTACGGATGATTGTTGGACCTTGAAGAATAAGGTTCAGGACCTGATCGATGCAAATGAGGTTGAGTTCGAGGCGCCCGAGAGGCCTAATGTTGTAACAGCCCCCATGCCCAAGCATGGATTAAATGCCATTGAAGATGACGTAGAGGAATCTGAATTCGACAGCTGGATCTACCCTACGACCAACGATGGACCAAGAAACTGGACAGAGAAAGACTTCGTCCCTATTACTTTTGTTACTCAGTAATGAACTCCTTTGTTTTGAACAGACAATATTGTGAAACTTTATGGCCCAGTGTCTTACCCGGGACACCGTGGCTTCATTTGTAAGGGCTTTTGTGTGTCATCTTCATATATCATTAATAAAAGCATTGGACGTTTTTGCATTTCAAATCTTGCGCTCTTTGTCTTTCTTTATTATATATTGCAAAACAGCTATTTACACACACTCACATATACAGGTCCCAATCCACTCTGGATCTCACTGGTAACGACTCTGCTACTGCCAGTTATGACTTCGAAAATCCGATCAACTTAGCCGAAGACGAAGGTGAAGATGATTGCGAAGTGCCTGGTGAGCTTGCAAGACTGCTACTCCAGGAAGAGAGGGTCATTCAGCCACATGAAGAGCCAGTGGAAATGGTGAATCTGGGTACTGAGACAGACAGGAAGGAAGTCAAGATCGATGCAAATCTGGAGTTTAGTGTGAAATAACGGTTGATTCAGATGTTGCATGACTACGTGGAAATTTTTGCCTGGTCTTACGAAGATATGCTTGGGTTGGATACCGACATTGTGGTTCATCACCTGCCTACCAAGGAAGAATGTTCGCCGGTAAAACAGAAGGTCCATCGTATGCGTCCAGAGATGTCCGAGAAAATCAAAGCTGAGGTTATGAAACAATTTGACGCCGTTTTTCTAGCAGTGACTTCTTACCCTCAATGGGTTGCCAATGTGGTTCCAGTGCCGAAGAAAGATGGTAAGGTCCGAATGTGTGTTGATTACAGAGATTTGAACAGGGCGAGCCCTAAGGATGACTTTCCTCTGCCTCACATCGACGTTCTGGTCGACAACACTGCTCAGCATAAGGTATTCTCCTTCATGGACGGTTTCTCCGGTTATAATCAGATAAAGATGGCTCCTGAAGACATGGAGAAGACCACCTTTATTACTCAGTGGGGTACCTTTTGCTACAAGGTCATGCCTTTTGGGTTGAAAAATGCTGGGGCAACGTATCAGCGTACCATGGTTGCTTTGTTTCATGATATGATCCACCATGAGATTGAAGTATACGTCGACGATATGATTGCAAGGTCCCAAACTGGGGAGGAACACCTTGATCATCTACAGAAGCTGTTTGACCGGTTGAAACTGTACAAGCTGAGATTAAACCTGAACAAGTGCACCTTCGGGGTGAGGTCTGGAAAACTACTAGGTTTCGTCGTAAGCGACAAAAGTATTCAAGTGGATCCTGCCAAAGTGAAAGCCATACAAAAGATACCAGTTCCCAAGACAGAGAAAGAAGTCAGAGGCTTTCTAGGACGGCTGAACTACATTGCCCGATTCATCTCGCACCTAACTACTACTTGTGAACCAATCTTCAAGCTACTGAAGAAAGATTAAGTGGTACGTTGGAACGATGAATATCAGGCCGCTTTCGAAAGAATCAAAGAGTATCTCCAAGAGCCACCCATTCTTATGCCACCGGTTGAAGGGAGACCTCTAATCTTATACTTGACAGTACTGGACAACTCAATGGGATGTGTGCTGGGTCAACATGACGAGTCTGGCCGAAAAGAGCATGCTATTTATTACCTTAGCAAAAAGTTTACCGACTGTGAGACCTGATACTCACTGCTCGAGAAAACTTATTGCGCTTTGGTATGGGCTGCTCGCCGGCTAAGACAGTATATATTGACTCACACTACTCTATTGATTTCAAAGATGGATCCGATCAAGTATATCTTCGAAAAGCCTGCCTTGTCCGGAAGAATAGCAAGATGGAAGATGATCTTGACTGAATATGACATCCAGTACACGACTCAAAAAGCAATCAAGGTGTTTACCGTGGGAATTGGTAAACAACCGCTGATCTTCCAAATGGTTACTTATTTGGTGACTCGTAGGATCGATCAGATTGATCCTAAGACATGGTTGATTTTGGGGTTTTGACTAAGTTTGATAATGGTTAAATGACAAGAAAATAAAGAAGCTTTATGTAAATTGCATGAAGAAGAAAACTTGATAAAAAAAAAGGAAGGCTTGAAATAAAGGCTTTCGACTGGGAAAGTAAAGGAGAAAGCAAGTAAAGTTTCTGGAAAATAAATGACTTTGATTAATAAAGTGGTGTTTCACACATACATTCTCAACAATTCTTTCTCACACGCTGGATACTCGAATCTATATGAGTGACTTGTATATAATTGTGAACACACGCGAAAAACTGCGTGAACTACTAATATTTATACTAAACATCCCAAGTAACCGTCGGGCAGTTACACTGCTTCGAGATGACTCCACTTGGCACGTTCTCAGCGTTCGATGCTCCAGATCTTTGCACGTTGCACTTGGTAACCGCTGGGAACCGTTTTCCCTCCAAACGTTTGAATTTCAAACCGTCCCACTCTAAGCAATCGAACACCTTCGTCGAGAGGCATCTTCGACGAGCCACACCTTCGACGTCGAAGGCAACCAAATTCTCCCTTGGAAGAAATCCTCTAAGTACATTGCCATCTTCTGATGGGCATTTCGACAGACCCAGGTGGTCGAAAATATCCTTCAGCTTTAATGGCTGATATTAATAAAAACAAGGGTGTCGAATTTAGGAGCCAACAAATTGCCCCCCAAGAATGCCTTATTTCGACTATGAAAATAAAAAGGCATTCTTTGAAACTCCATTCGACACCTGTCTTTTCATTCTTAGTCACAAATTAAATTGTGCATTTTTTTGTCTTCTACCAACCACTGACAATCCCAAGGAAAAGCCATCATTTCATCCGTACCTAAGACGTCACCTCAGTACGGCGTGCAGCGTGCCAAATGTCTTTTCACAAATTGTCATCATGACAATTCCCAAAAACGAGGGCGCACGCTGCACCCTTTCATTTCTGCAGAACGGCTATGTCAACAGGGGGACGCCACGTGTCCCACTATCTTCTGCAACATTAAATGGCATTAAATGGCCTCGAATTTGGGGATTTCCCAACTACTATAAATAGCGCCAAGTACCCATTGTGGGACTTTTTCACGCTACCTTGCCTTCAAACTTCCTTATTGAATACAAACTCTCTGTAAACTTTGCAAACAACTTGTTCTTCACTTCATCTTCAACCTTAACATCAACAATGGCGTCCGGTTCTTCCACCGCTCCTAGTTCTAACATCCCCTCCAGAAATGCTAAACCCAAGATTTTCTCCACTGCCCCCGTAGTTACTCCTACAGGCCAACGAAGGGTTCCTGAGCCCCTAGACATTGCTGAACGTGACGCTTATTCACACCAACTCATGATTCCGGTTGGATACTCCAACCAAATCTTCGCCATGTCTGGCCCGCTCAACCCAAGCATCGCTGAAGCCATGAAGATCAAAAGCTTCTTTCCAGTGCTCAAAAAGCTCAAACCTGTTGGATGCTCTAAGAAAGATGCAGAGGATAACGAAGATCCCGCTAAGGAGAAAATCGATCTTCGCTTCTTCAATAGGGGTGTTAGGGCTTTCAGGTCTAGCCCTAGCCTCACTCCTGACTACAGTGCTTGGCTGGAAAAAATGGAGAAAAGCCAGGCTTCGATCTGGAAAGACCTGGGGATATTCGACCTAGTTATGTTGTCGAAGACGGGTCTCAACTACTCCCCAGAAATGTTGATAGTTTCCTTACTCTTCTGGGATTACACTCATTTCACCTTCCACCTTCCCTGTGGAATGCTGACACCCACGCTGTTCGACGTGGCTGCCATCACTGGCCTTCGACCCACTGGGGATTATTTCGACCCAGAAGAAATGTCGGAGGATCAGATTGGATTCTCTGCCACAAAACCAACCTACACCACCTATATCAACCATTACCACGATAAGTCGACGACCACTGTGTCGGATGTAGAACATATCGCGTTTCTAGCCTTATGGCTGTCACGCTTTGTGTTTTGCACAAAGTCTTTACAGGTGACAAAGAAGATGGTCACCCTCGCCACCCAACTCCACCATGGCCAAAATATTTGTTTGGCAGAATTGATCTTGGCGAATCTGTACGAGTCGATTAGCAGCGGAGCGACTCTTTTGAAGATCATCGAGAACAGAGCCAGTCTGTTGCTTGCAGGACCTTTTTGGCTACTTCAGCTGTGGCTCAATGCCACCTTCGAGTCTTTCTTACCTCAGAAGACTCAAATAAATGAGCAAGCTCCGGAGATAGCAAATAGGTGCATCGAAGGCACCAGATTGGCTCTGCTGACCCCAACTGAAGATGGGCTGGAGCTTCAACAAACTTTTACAAACTTTGTCTTGATGTTTGCAAAAAGGAAAGAATTTGTTTCGACCATGGCTCCCTTTGCTCGACGAAAGGTTGGTCCAGAGTGGTTCACGAGGCCCCATCCTAAGTCGTCAAGTGGCCCTCAGGTCGAAGAACATACAACAGTGTGGGAAGCATTTCTCACACCAAGAATAATGCCCCTGCGATTCAAGAGCTCCAAGACTCACTTGAGCCTGATCGCGTATCAACCAAACTTGGTCTCCCGCCAGTTTGGTATCATTCAAACACTTCCTTCTCCTATTTTTCCCAGGGAGAAGTCTATGTTATACTTTTGCAACGACTACACTGAAGACGCTGCCACTAAGCATATCGGCAGGTATGCTGGTCGAACAGTTCTTTCGTTGTTCGACTATCAGCTTAACTTTCTCTGCTCACCATCCTTCGAAGAGTGGTGGAAAAGTTACTACGCTGAAGAGTTCTTCGACGAGAAGGACTTCGTGGACGAACTTCATAAGTCTTTTGTTCTTGTCTTGGACAAAATAAAGAAATGTAAGTTCATTCTTCCAAATTATTTTGTCTTTCCCTTTCGACTGGCAGCCTGTTAATTATTTTGTCTTCTTTCAGTTGTTCGAAAGCCTGCAGCCAAGAAAGCTGCAGAAGGCCATCAGGGAGGAGGTCCCTTGACAAAACCTCCACCACCGGCGAAGACTATAGCACCAGCGAAGACTACAACAAGCCATCAGGGGGAAGGTCCTTCGAAAAAGCCTTCTGCACCGGTAACCAGACTTT